GTTACTGAAACTGGATTTCATGTGCTTATTTTCCCCTAGAGTTAAAGTCAACAGTGTCAGCTGCAGAAGAGAAAGTAATCCTGTATTTTTGCCAAGAAAACCCCATATGAGGTCACCAAGAATTGGACATGACTGCACAACATCTTTGGACAGTTAGGTGATGCAGTGGTTAGAGCACCAGGCCTGGAGTCAGGAAGACTTATCTTCCTGAGTTCAAATCTGGCCTCAGACACCAGCTGTGTGACCCTGGACAAGTCACTTAACCCTGTTTACCTCACTTTTTTCATCAGTAAAATGAGCTGGAAAAGGAAATGGCAAACCACTCCAGTATCTTTGCCAAGAAAACCCCAAATGAGGTCACAGAGTTAGACACGACTGAAATGCCTAAACAACAGAGAAGTCTGAAAGGAAGGGAAATTTTTTGTAGTTATAAGTAACCATAAACCATTACTATGGCTTAAAATTCCTAAACATGCAGCCAGAAGCAATTGCAAGTGAAATTTTCCTGTACCCTCAAAGAATGAGGATAGACTGGGCAGGCTCTTACCTGGAAGGTCAATCAATGAAGATGAGTCAGGGTCAAATAAGCAGTTTGAGGGAGAAAAACCAAGTAGAGCTAACTCCTCTCTCCAGTAGAGGAGACTGAGGTGTGAAGAAGAGGGGTATATGTGTGTGTATTTTGATTTGAATCTCTTGAATCAGAGACTATCCTTCGCCCTCTCTTCTCTTCCTCAACCCTAGGTAAGTCTTGGTGATTTGATTTGCTGGTCGATTCAACTTCCACGTAGGAACAGGTGAGTGTCGTGATTTAAGGGTCTTAGGAAACCCCTGCTACCTAAAAATATCTACTCTAGACTACCTGAAATTCTACCACATAGGGATGTTATCCAGCAAACAGGGACTATTATATTTGTGTTATGGGGTGGCAATCATTCACACCTTAGTATGAAATCAGAGGGAATGAAAGTAGTGGGGAAATGACGGGTAATTTTGGACCAGGGCTGAGAGGCTGATGAAGGAGCATTTAGATGGAGCAGAATGGGATAGTCTTTAGGGGAGGCTTGATGGAGGTAAGAGATTTAAGCTGCATAAGAAATTGGAAGCAAGGTAGGCATAGGAGCCAGGCAGAGGAAAAAGTGGGAATGCGTTCAGAGGGCCAATGAAGAGACTAAGGGGCTGAAGTGTTTGAAGATAAGGTCTGATAGATAGGATATGGCCTGATTAAAGATCTTAAATGGCAGGCAGAGTTTAGACCTGATTTTTCAGGCAAAAAGGAAGCATTTTGAGCCAGGAACTGATATTTTAGGAAGGTTAGTCTGTCAGCTGTATGCAAGATGCCTGAAGAGGGGACAGAATTGAACATAGGAAGAGAGTATGGAGACCAAAAGGCCCTGACTATGCTGGTGGCAGAGGAAATGCAGAGAAATAGGCAAATCAGGGTCAACCGGAACTGGTGGACGATTGGATACTAAAGCAACAAGTCATTCATTTATTCCATAAATTTTTATTGAGCACCTACTATTTGCAAGGCACTGAGGGAACAAAAAGGTTATTTTGAGACTGGAGAGCAGTGGACTTCAAACGCTGTACTGCCTGTTACTTAGACTAACAGGGTCTTGGGGCCTGCCTCAGTTTCCTCATCTTTAAAATGAAGAGATTGGACTAGATGGCCTCTAAGATTCTTTCCAGCTCTAAATCTATGATCTTCTTATAAAGATAACTAAAAATGACAGCGTGCAATAGCCGTCATTTATTTATACAACACTTTGAAGAGTTTTACATCCATTCTCACTTGAGCTTCACAGCTCTATGAGGTAAATATTATTACTTCCCTCCCTCCATTTTAGAGATGAGCAAACTTAGGAACAGAGAAGTGACTTCTCCATCCTGGACCGATCATCCTGCAAGTAGAAAGTGTCAAGGGCAGGATTCAAACCCAGACCTTCTTCAAGTACGAAATTCTCCACTCCGCCACACTGCCTCTCTAGGAGGGACGGTGCAAATAAGGCATTCTAGGTAAAAACGAAGGCTGGAATAGTGCAGAAGAGAGAAATTACTTCCAGGTGAAGGAATCCAGAAGGACTTTGCGGAGAGCTGGAATTTGAGATGAGTCTTGGAGCAGCAGGATTTTAGCGGGTAGAGGTGGGATGATAAGGACAATCCAGGCAAACGAAACATCCTCTCCTGTGAGCCAGAAATCAGAGAAGTGGTGCAAGGGGAGAGGGTCAGGGGTTAACATGGAGCACTGGATGGAGGAGGAATTAGATTGGGTAGGTAGAGTGGAACCAGACTGTGGAGATGCTCGAATGTTAGGCTGGGTCTGGACTTAATCCGATAGGCAGAGAAGAACTGATTAAAGTTTTTGAATTAGAGTGAGCAATAATCCCAGCGGTGTTTAGCAAAATTAACCCAGCTGCTGTGTGTAGAATGGAGTGAATGAGAGCCTCAAAATAAAGAACTTAGGAAGGCCACAACAGAATGGCTATGAGGGCATAAGAACCTCAATAGGAAAGTGTCAATTAGAATAGAAGGAATGGGTGTGAAAGAAAATGTAAAGGAAAAAGACTGGCCTTGGTCCAAAGTGATTTCAGGGTCTGGACTGGGAAAGAGAACACTGTGGCCATTGATAGAAATGGGTTATTTGGGGAGTAAAACTGGTTTGGAACATCAAAGATAACAAGTTTGGTTTTTGATGTGTTAAGTTAATAAGGAAATGAAACATTACAGTGGAGAGAGAGTGGGCGTTAAAAGTCAAGACAACCTGGTTCAACTCTTATCACTGATTCATACTAGTTGTATGACCCAGGGCACATCACTGAACTTCTTGATGTTCTAGGGACAGCTAGGTGGCACAGTGGATAGAGAACTACTGGAGTCAGGAGAACCTGAGTTTAAATGTGCCTCAGACACTTGCTAGCTGTGTGACCCTGGGCAAGTCACTTAACCTGTTTACCTCAGTTTTCTTATCTTCATGCATCCTCTCTTCCTGCATCTTGCATACAACAAAATGGAGATAATAATGGCACCTACCTCCCAAGATTGTTGTGAGAGTTGAGATATTTGTAAAGCACTTTGTAAACCTTAAAGTGCTATATAAATGTTAGCTATTAGTATCATTATTTCTGTAAGTTGCAGAAAAGTTGCCAATCCACATTTCTAGTAGTAGTTGTCTCAGTTCCCGATTCCAATGAAATCGGTCTTTGTCTTCTAAGTTTAAAGTGATAGAGGGACGACCAAATTGAGATTTACCTCAGGTAGTTAGCACTAGATGACAGGAGCACAAGTAAAAGGTCAAGAAAGCAGATAGTAAAAACTTAGATTCTTAATTACTAGGCCTTTTAAGATGCCAGAAGGAGGAATGGCTGCCACCCCATCCTGCCAAGTTAAAAGAGGGCCACAAATGCCTTGGCCCTATCATAAGCCAACTCATATCAGTCATGAAGAACTAAGAACACCCCTCAAACCAGTTCCCTCGTGGTTTTGAGATATACTGTTTCCCACTTTCACTTGCCCCATTGGACTTGTCTTCATATTCATGGATGTGTTCACTTGTTCCCTTGGATCTGGCATCTTTGTGCTCCTTGCATCCTACACTTTGTCAAAACCCACGTGTAACTGCATGAAAACACACTCAAACGTTGGTGCCCCCCCCCCCAGCTTTCAGTGAGATGGACTGTGTTGCTGCTGAATCTCTGTGTACAGAACAAATGGAGAAGAGGAGGAATGCTGGTTTATTGGCTGGGCTGACTGCCTGTCCAGATGAATGAATCTCTTAACTTCCAGGGCTTCCGGGGTTCTATGGCAGGATTCCAACATCAATGATGAACTGAGAACGAGAAACATGGTGGTGGTAACTGAAATCATTAAGTAGCTTCTCCTAAAGGAAATATATGGAGAGATGAAACCAAGGGGCCAGACTCTAGAGAAAAATTAGTTATAAGCAAGAAGGAAAAAAGATCAGTGTCCCACTAAAGGTTTGAAAGCAGCAGTCAAAACTGTCATATGGAGTAGAGCGGCAGTAGGTAATGAATAATAGGCCACTGGATTCTGACGGAAGAAAATTACAGATAACCTTTGAGAAGAGATTCAGTAGAGCATAAAGGGTTAAGATGTGAATGAGTAATGAGAAAGTAGAGGCAATATGCAGGTTCAGTCAGAGGGGAGAATGGTGAGCCTGGTATCACATCTCTTTGTGAGAGTGGGAAGCCCAGCATTTAATTGGCCTAGAAACAAAAGTGATTTAAGCTGTTAGATAGTGGGTCAGAAATAGTAAATTAGGTCTGAAAGCTAGAGTTTATGATAACTGAAGTTTAGAAGGGTCAAAGTCCAAGTAAAACTAGCATCCTAAGAATCAGGACATAGGAAGACCCAAGTCAGGACTTAAGGAGCAAATCCCAGGAAAGCTGCCAAGTGGAACAGAATGGAGTCATAAGCAGAGTTAGAAGACTTGTGTGTTGACTGAGTGCTTTTTCACAATGGACTGAAAGTATTTATAGTCCTGTTATTAGGGTTTCTTAAAGGGCTAATGCTTTCCGCTTAGGTGGAGGCTTCTATAGGCTTGGGGCACTAAGCCATCTGTTAGTAAGGGGCCCAATACACGTGATCAGATAAGGGAACATGTATGTCTATGAGGGATTTGGAATTTTCTTTCAGTATCTGTGTCCCCTCTATTTTTTCCTTTATGATGAGCCCTAGCAACACCTAAGGAAGACTGGTTTTGGTAGTGTTCCCATAGCTATATTATGCTTTTAAGATGCCTGACTCTAAATTTATGATACAGCACCTATAGGCCATTTGTTCAAGGAATTAGGAAGCAAAAGACAGGGAAAAAAAATAGAATAGCAACCAGAAATAGTTAGCAGACTTAAGAAACATTTAAGATCAATCTCCCCATCTTAATATTTTAATGAGGTTTCTTGTCCCATCTTAAATATTGGCAATAGAATAAAGTGAAAGGATAAATGAAGTTTTTCCCAAATTCATAATATTCCCAGGGTTACTCTTTGGCATAACGTCGTTGATGTTGAATAACAGATGACTTGCTACTGAAAACCTTTCCACATACACTACATTCATAGGGTTTCTCTCCTGTATGAGTTCTCTGATGTCGGTTAAGGTGACTTCTTTGATTGAAGGCTTTCCCACATTCATTGCACTCAAAGGGCTTTTCTTTACTATGAATTTTCTGATGTTGAGTAAGGGATGAGCGGTCAAAAAAGGCTTTCCCACATTCATTACATTCAAAGGGAGTCTCTCCAGTATGAGTCCTTTGATGTCGAATAAGGGATGAGAGGCCAAAGAATGCTTTTTCACATTCATTACACTCATAAGGCTTCTCTCCAGTATGTGTTAGCTGATGTCGAGTAAGTATGCTTTTTTGGCTGAAGGCTTTCCCACATTCATTACATTCATAGGGACTCTCACCAGTATGAATCCTTTGATGTCGAGTGAGAGATGATCTGTCAAAGAAGGCTTTCCCACATTCATCACATTCATAGGGCTTCTCTCCAGTATGAATTCTCTCATGTACAGCAAGGGATGAACGGTCATAGAAAGCTTTCCTACATTCGCTACATTCATAGGGACTTTGTCCTGTGTGGGTCATCTCATGTCTTCTAAGACTGCTGCTGTGGCTGAAGGCTTTCCCACATTCCTTACATTCATAGGGCTTCTCTCCAGTATGAGTTCTCTGATGTCGATTAAGGGAAGAACGATCAAAAAAGGATTTCCTGCACTGATTACATTCATGACCTCTCTCTTTAGTGTGTTTTTTGGTATGATTTATTGATATTTGCTTGAAATTTCTCTCAAGAGACAGTGGTTTTTCTCTTGTCTTCCCTTCAGAGTTTTCCCTCTGCTTCTCCACTCTGTCTTCAGGTACAGAAATCTCTCCTTTGATTCTTTCTGTTAATGTGCCTAATGATCCTCCTTCAGAAATGTTCTGCTTTAGAATTGATTCCTGGATTTCAGGCATATACTCCCAGCCTGAAACTAAGAGAACATACAAATGTAACTTGTGATAAGGCCAGAGTATTCTCTTTCGGTAAAGAAAATAAAATGCTCTAGTGGAACAAAAGGAGAATTAAACCAAAAAAAAAAATGAGGACTGGGTATTCATGTAATTGGGCAGATCTCCAAACCAGTCTTATAAACTATGAAAAGTTGAGGAAATAGGAGAGGAGAGAGGAGCAGAGGAAAGAACCAGGAAGCCTGGAGGGAGGGGTAGGGGATTATCTCTCTAATCAGTGTGAGCAGAAAATATGACAGAACCCATCCAGGAATATGGTAGCATATTGTTGTGGTCATCTTTAAGTGGAGAGGAAGGTAACGAGTAGAAATTCTATCAAGGAAAGCATAAGAACTAGAATGGATGTGGGAAGATACAATTTTTGTGAGTAAAAAAGGGTGATCTTTGGAAAAAAATAAAGAGAAGGAAACAGTTGGAGGCTGGCAACACGAAAAGAGAAGCACGGGAATAACATCTGAGGAAAAAAAGAGACTCTCCTCCACCCCCCTAGGTCACAAAATGTAACAAAGCTATGCTGTCTGGGTCCATTACAATAACAATCTCAGCAATCCTTGGGGTGGCTGAGGAGATCTCTCTCATTAAACATCTGGGCTGTTATTTCCACTGAATTCCATCTGTCTGGTTCTCTTTCACAGGCAGCTGGTGTCACAGTTGTAATAACATTGGTTTGGAGACAGAAAGACCTGAGTTCAAATCCAGCATCAGACACCTACTAGCTGTGTGATTCTGGCAAGTCATTTAACCTCTGTCTGCCTCAGTTTCCTCAACTGTAAAATAAAGTTAATAACAGCACCTCCTTCACAGGCTTGTTGTAAGCATGAAATGTAGAAAAACGTGCTTGGCACAGTGCTTAGCACATAGCAGGTTACATATAAATGCTGACTCCCTTCCCTTTCCCCATTTACCTTACTTACCTAGAGAAGTATTTCTTGGTACTGCCTTTTCCTCAGTTCCTTGTAAATCAAGTATCCAAGGCTCTTCCCCTTGCTCCAATTGGAAGATCACATCAGGTTTGGAAATGGGAAGCCCTGTTTATAGAGAAGGGAATGGACCAGAACAATTTGAATCTATCTCCTAAGTCAGTCCTATGCCCTTTTTTCTGCAAGGAAAGACAAGGAAAATATGGACCCATATTGCATGATAATTTGAAAGACCTACAACATCTAGTCCATGTTGCTTCCCACAGGATGTGACAGAAAAATCCAAAAGTAGTAGCAAAGATTTCTGAAGAAGCCTCAGGCTCAGGGCAGCTAGGTGGCGAAGTGAATAGAGCACCAGTCCTGGAGTCAGCAGGACCTGAGTTCAGATCTGGCCTCAGACACTTACTTGACATTTACTAGCTGTGTGACCCTGGGGCAAGTCATTTAACCCCATTGCCTAGACCAAAAAAAAAAAAAAAGAAGAAGAAGAAGAAGCCGCAGGCTTGTGTTTCTAGGGCTTTGGTGGGATATAATGAACTACCTATTTTCAACTCTATGAACTGAAAAACTTTAATCTTATTAATAGAAATAGAAATAGAAATAGAAATACCTGGTCCCCAAGGCCAAAAAAGAATAGAAATCTCTGGCCTGAATGACAAGTCAAAACTCAAGATCACCAAGTCAGGAGCTCCACAGCCATTACCAATTTTTACAATGTAAGTCCACCCGAAGAGCAGTTGAAATGGTAGCCCCTCCTTCCTCTCAATAGCTACTCTCTGGACTTTGCCTGGTGCCCTTTTTGCCTGGTGTTTTACTATTCCCCTTTATAGGCACCATTAGCTTACACTTTCTTTAGTCTAGTTTTCATCTGACCAAACCTTGGTCACACTGCTTTTCTGTAGTGTGCCCTTCTCCCTCCTTCCCTTCTATTTGGTTTTGAGAATAGGAAGCTTCTCTTCTATTTAGGGTCCAGGTTTTCCCATAGACTGTAAGTAGGAAACAGACAGACACTTTAGCCACTTTCATCTTTTCTCCATATCTCTGGTCTCAGAAAATCCTATCTGTTCTACTATATTATCTCATCATAGTCTATTACACAGCTTCTGCAGTTTCCCACTAAGGTCCCTTGGATATTCCGTTACACATTATGCCTATCCAGTTCACACTTGAGATACATGAGGGAATTCTTGATGTCTACATGTGCCATGTGTCTCTTCCCAGGTCTAGATTCTTTGCCAGCTTTGCACCCACTTATAAATCTGTATATTTTTCCTACCATGTTGTTGTTGTTGTTTAGTTGTTTTAATAGTGTCCAACTCTTTGTTACCCCATTTTGGGGTTTTCTTTGCAAAGATAGTGAAGTAGTTTGTCATTTTCTTTTCCAGCTCATTTTATAGATAAGGAAACTGAGGCCAACAGGTTAAGTGATTTGCCCAGGGTCACACAACTTAAGTATCAGAGACTGGCTATGAACTCAGGTCTTCCTGACTCCAGGCCTGGTGTTCTATCCACTGTACTACCTCGCTGCCCTTTTCTACCATATAGAGTACCTAATCCTCCTATCATCATTCTTGAAGCACTCACATCTTTTGAGATCCTTGTCCTCTCCTAGACCCTATACTTTACCTAGTCTTTGAGTAAACAATAGGACCAGTCACCTTCACAGCAGTCATGGAGTTTAAAACATTTTCTATAAACATCTCCTAACATTCCTCCACTAAAGACCTATCATGCTTCCCTGAGGCACAGAGCTAATCTTGAGTTCTTCAAGGCTAGGCCCATACAGCAGGGACTCTGACAGGCTTTGTACCCCACTGGCAAGGCTCCAAAGAGGGTCCTGCTGGACAGACGCAGCAGTGGTTGTCAAGGATGGGGCTGGCTAAGTTCAGAGAGCCTCATCCCCACTTTGTTGACTGAAGACTGAACCTATTGGTCACAGAGGCTCATGAAGATGGTTGAGGAACCTCCAGAGGTTAACCATAAGAAGTCTCCACATCAACACCTTCACTGATCCTCAAAGTGCTGAAGAGAAACCCTCACACGCTCTCACCCTTAAGATCTACAGCCCCTGTGAACCAGAACTAACTCTAGTTAGTGTACACACTAGTTAATATACACACTATGTACCTGGTGTAGATTAAGACTAGCCCTGCAGTGTAGAGCAAGCAGGCCTTATATTGGATGTGTCTGTTTTGAATGTTGTCAAACTTGAGTGTTTTTTGCTCAATGGAGACCCGGTTACTGACCAGCAGCTTGTGGTTATTTGGCAGAAATGTGAACTAGAAAAGTAGTTAAGCTTTTCATAATTAAACAAGACATTTAACCAAAATTTAACCAAAAAGCAACAACAACAAAGTAAGGAGTCAGGAGGACCTGGGTTCAAATCTGGCCTCAGACACTTACTAGCTGTGTGACCCTGGGTAAGTCACTTAACCCTCACTGCCTTAAAAAAAAAAAAGACATAGTATACCTGGTGATCTACATACCATACACCAGAACCAACTGGGCTTCCTTCCAACCTCCACTCATGTACCACATCTGGATACAGTGTTTCCTCCTGCCCCCAGGTGTTAATGCTCTCTCCCTCCTCAAATTACCTGGTATTTACCTATTTGTGCACATGCTGTACTCCATTCTCCTAGTAGGATGTAAATGCCAGGCAGTGGCTGCTTTTATTTCTGCCTTTGATATCCCAAGTGCCTTGCATACACCAGGCACTTAATGAATGCTAACTGAATTAAATTTACTTTTGTTTAGTGAAGAGCTGTATTTTCTTAAAACACAGGGCAGATTCTGAATCATGGGATGAAGCCGTCCTTACCCAGTGAGATGAGGTTTCTATAGTTCTCCAGCATCACATCCCTGTAGAGGTCCCTCTGAGCAGGGTTCAGTTGCTGCCATTCCTCTTGGGTGAAGTTCACAGCCACATCCTTGAACGTAACTGATTCCTGAAACAAACAGATTCTGGTTCACTTGGAAACCCTTCACATCTAGGGAAAGAGAGTCAATTTAAAAGTATTTAGATAGTTTAGACCAGGAGTGGGGAACCTGCGGCCTTGAGGCCACATGTGGCCTTCTAGGTCCTTGGATGCAGCCTTCTGGCTGAGTCCAAGTTTTACAGAATAAATCCTTTTATTAAGGGGATTTGTTCTGTGCAGTTTAAATTCAAAGTACTTGAGGACTGAGGGCCACATGTGGCTTTGAGGCCACAGGTTCTCCACCTCTGGTTTAGACATACAAGTGGTTCTGATGAGGATAAAGAACAAGTCCTGTGTACTGTGGAATAAGGTAGAGGCATATGACCCAAGGCAGAAATACCTTGTCCCCAGGTCATTGTGGCCATCCCTGGGCTTCACTATGGGAGGGCGCCGTAGCAGAGAACACTTCTTAAGGTGGGCCCAGTTTCCTAGGAATGAATACCTGGGGCTCTGATCCCTGGATGGGCCACAGCTGGATAGAGAAGATCCCTGACGAGGGAAGGAAAGATATACACTCTCTGGAAAAATGGGACTGAATTGCAATAGAGAAGAAAGTCCAAGTCACCTGGGAACTGGCTATCAGAAATATGGGAGCCATTTCTTCTTCCTCGTCTTCTAGATTTCTCTCTTAAATAATGGCAGTCTTGAGAACGCAGGGCTGGGGGAAAGAAAGAGGACATGAGGGAGCCTGGTCTTGTCTTATTACTTCAAAACTCACCAGGTCAGAAATCTCAGGTGAGTGTGACTTTCTTATCTTTTCTATACCCTATAAAGATGGAAGTCAGACAGAGCACAGATGTGGCTGTCTTGTTCTCTCTCAAAATCAGAGAAAAGGGTCAAGAATATTAATACCTGGGACTTTGACTCTGTGTCTATACTTACAATACACAGCAGGAGAAAGAGGTCTGTTTCTGAGTCAGAACACATGGCTATGTGATTTGTAAGAAAATTCAACCTTTTAGTCACTTTCAAGGAAAAGTATTTCCCACTCTTTTCCCTGTTTGACATGAGATATAAAGAATAAATGTTTTGACTTTCCCACCTGCCTCATGGCTACATGATATAAGCATCAAGGAGTTAGCACAGTAGAATAAGAACAACACAGAACTAGGAATCAGGACACTTGGCTCTGCCTATGTAGGTATGTGACCTATTTGTAAAATTGGGCTAACAATAAACATGTGGTTTTAAAATGAGAGTATTCCTATAGACTATTCATTAAAATCATACTTGATATTCTTCTTAGGAATGTTTCACATCAGAGAATCTTAGAAACTACTGAATCCAACCTTTACCTGAACAAGTACCCACTCGACTACACACCTGACAAGTAGTGATCTGGCTTGTGGTTGAAGACTCAGTCTAGTAAGAGGAAACCATCCTACCTCCCCCAGATGCCCATTCTGCTTTTTTCCCTCCTTTTTCTTTTTTTCTCCTCCTTTCTCTGAGGCTAAGGCCATTTCTTCTCAATCTCCATACATTCCTCTGAGTTCTTCCTTCTAGCAGAACCCGTTTCTATTCTACAGAACAGTTCTTCATGTCTCTCCAAAGACTTTCCATCTCCAAGTTAAGTCCCCCCCTCCCAGTTCCTTCCATCAGTCCCTATCTCACAGGTTTCCAGAAGGCTAAAGTCCCCTATTATGTACCTTGGTCTCCTCCTGGACACACTCCAGCTCATGTTTTTCTTAAGTTGTGCGCCTAGGACTTAACACAGAACTTCACATATCTTGACCGCCTGGTGGCATTTTTGCCTCTTTGGGGACTTTGCCTATTTTGGGGACTATGTCACTATTAATGTTGCATAGGACAGCATTTTAGGCTGCTGTCACCCAGTGGGCTTAGCTTGAGCTTGTAGTCCATTTAATCCCGAGCACAAGATGTTGTACACTGCCCCCTTCTTACATATGAGCAGTTGATTTCTGGAACTCAAGTGAAGAACTTTATTTTGTCTGTATTAAATATGGTCTTATTCAATATAACCCACTGTTATAAGTATTCAAGGTCTTTTTGGTCCCTGACTCTATCATCCCTCATGTGAGCTATCCCTTTAAGTTCTATGTCATCCACAAATTTAACATACTTGCTTCTTATTCCTTAGTCAAGTTATTGACAAAAATGTAGATTAGCACAGGGCCAAGGACAAATCACAGGCACTCATTAGAGACCTTCTTACAAGATGATATTGGCCTATTAGACTATTCTTTGGCTAGTCAGCCAGGTACAAATCCGTATAACTCTGCCAGCATTGAGCCCACATCTCTCCATCTTATCCACAAGCGCAGCAGGAGAGACTTTGTTAGATGCTGTGCTACAATTTCAACATACAATATAGCTATACGATTCCCCTGATCAAGCATTCTCTCTTTGGTGGGGTGAAGAATAGGATTATACACTTGTAATTTCATCTGTGTAGAGAATGCCTCGTATATAAACACATTTCAGTAATTCAAGTGGCTTGTCCAAGGTCACATAGCTAGTATGTGTCAGAAACAGGATTTGAACAGGGTTTGAACCTAAGGATGGTCCTATCCACTACGCCACGCTGACTAAGTTATCCTGATGAACAGGAAAGGAGACTAAGAACTGGCTGTAGCTATGCTACAGTTCAGTGATCACTGCTTCCTTTTCTAAGTGTTCTCATGTTATCCCCTTAATAATATATTCTAGAGTTTTTGCCAGGAATCAAAATCAAACTCACTGCACTACAGTTTGCAAAATCTACCCTTTTCTCTTTTTTGAAAATTGAAATATTTGCGCTTCTCCAGTTCTCCAAGATTTCCAAAGATCTACAATGCTGAGAATCATTTGGTCTGGATTTTTATTCCTTTTGAACCACGTTTTGTTGGTTCCCAGTGCAAAAACTGTTCTCCTTGGAAGAAAAATGGGAAAAGTAAGAGTTGAGTAGTCCAGCTTTCTCACTGTTGTCCGTTATTCTGTCCTTCCCTTCTTTAATCTTCCTTTTGCCCCCAACATTACCGGGGGAAAATCCTTTGTGTTGTTTTAGCTTTTCTAGCCGGCCTCATTTCATTCTGGGACTTAGTGCTCCTGCCACGGTTCTCCCAGGACCATGCTACTCTTGTTATCATCCTTAACTACTTGATTTTGCTTTCATATTTTATACATATCTTTTAAAAATCTGACTTTGTAGATTAATTCCCTTGGCATCCATATAGGGCTCTTCAAGCTGCTTCCCTTTTTCTTCCTAATCAGGATCATTTTCTCCTTCTGTCTTCAGAATTTCATAGTTCTCTAGGTTTGTTTGTGATTTTTTTTTTGGTTTGTTTTTTAAGATTTCTAAATATTTGTAGCAGGCTGACTTTGCTCTGGTCCCTTTTCTGAAAACTTCCATGCTCCATGCTTGTCTGGCCAGATCCTTGCAGCTCAATACCCTGCATTTTCCTGCCTGTAACATCAGAGACAGGAATCCTATCAGATGCATCTGAGTAAGAACTTGCTGACTTCACAAAATCACAGAATTTGAGAGTTAGAAGGGCTCAAATCCAACCCATACCAAAAAAAAAAAATCCCCCATATAGCATACCCAACAAATGAACTTCCTTTAGAACCAATGGCTTTTGGAAATATAATTGAAGTGCCATTGCATAGAGATTATTACAGATCCATTTATCCCACATATGACCTCAGAGTGGTACTAGCTTGGTGGAACCTGGATGTTGTGCCAAGTGCTGAGACCAGGATCATCAGTGATCCTCCTGGTGTGGTCCCAAAGACTATGGACTGCCAAGGGCCAGCAACTAAAATTATGTTTCAGCCTTTCTACTCCAGTTGAGACCTGCGATACTCTTTGCTCCTGTCCTTGGTGTCTTTTAGGATTTAAGCCTTCAAAATAGCAATTAATCAATCAACAAGCATTTATTAAGCACCAATAAACATGGGAAATACACATTTTTTAAAAAAGAAACCATCCCTGTACCCAAGGCACTTATATTCTAATGGGGGTGGGGGGGTGGGAGAGAGACAAGAGCTACACATAAACAAAATATGTACAAAATAATTAAGGTCATTTTGGGAGGTAAGCCCCCAGCAGCTGTGACAAAAAAAATAAAATTCAGAAAATGTCAGATGCAGGAATCAGCATCTAAGCTGAGGTCTGAAGAATTCTTCAAGGGATTCTAAAAGGCTGGGGTGAAGAGTCAATTCATTCTAAGCGTGGTAGACAGCATGCGCAAAGGCAGAGACGAAAGAGAAAATGTCATGTGTGAGAAGCAGCAAGAGCAGTGCCTGGCACACAGCAGATGTTTATTTAATAAACGCTTGTCGACTAACTAAAGGTCAATTTGGCTGGACTTCAGAGCACAGGAAAGTATAATGAGGTTGGAAAGGTAGGTTGAGGCCACTTTGTGAAGGACTTTAGATCCCAATCAGAGGAATTTCTATTTGATTTTAAAGGTAAGAGAACCACTGACGTTTGGGGGGGGAAGAAGGTGAGATGATCAGACCTGTGCTTTAAGGAATATCACTGTGGCAGCTGTGTGGTTAATGGATGGAAGATGGGAGAGACCCGAGACGGGAAATTCCGTTCGGAAGCTATTGCCATAGTCTGGGCTAGAGATGGCGAGGTCCTGAATTAGGGTAGTGGACGTATGAAGGGTCCAAATGCTACAGATGTTGTGGACATAGAATCAATAAGACCTGGTAACTGGTTGGATACGGGGAGCAAGGGAAAGTCAAGGACAACTCTGAAGTTATAAGCCTGGGTGACTCCAAGATGGTGCTGTCCACAATATAAACAGTGAAGTTAGGGCTCTATTTGTACCACAAACATGGCTGTTTCTCAAGGTTTTGCCTCCAGCCTTCTCACATTGCCATTGGCCCCTTCAAGATATCATCTATTCCTATGGCTTTGACTATCACCTCTATAAAGAATGTCATTCAAATCTCTTATCTCCAGCCCTGCCCTCTTTAGTGCCAGTCCTTCCTATCCAACTCTGAGTTTAATAATGCCTTTCTCCACAATAGTAATAGTCCTTCTTCCTCCATTCCATCCCTCCCCCCATCAAAGGCCTAGTTATCCCGTGAAAAGAATTTAGAATTTGGGGTGTTGATCAGCACAGAAACAATAATTGAAGCCATTTACAATGGGTGTTCTCACCATGATAGTTATATAGAAAGTGAAGCACAGAAGGCTAAAGGTGAAGCCTGGTGGAATACTGACATTTAGTGGTGGAAAGAGGAAGAGGAGGCAGAGGAGGAAACTTTAGAGGGTCAGGGAAGAACCAGGAAAGTCAGTGTCATAGGGGAGAGAAGAAGAGTTTCAAGGACTGGTGAGGAGTCAATCCATCAGTGGAGAAATAGGCATTGCAATACAAGAAAATATAAAACACAGTCCCGTTCTCTCGAAGTTTATAATCTATTTAGGGACATAAAATATATAAACATAAACTGATAATAATAACTGACAATCAATGATAAAAGTCAAAATGATGAGGACAATAAACAGTAAGTCCCCCCTATTTTTCTGCTGCCACTCCTTCTTGGAATGCCTTCCCTCCCTCTTTCAGGTGATACAAATTCATACTTTCAAGTGAGAAGAGGAAGAAAAGCCTTGTGGAGGAGAGATTTGAAGAGCAAGAGGGCAAAAGGCCTCTACTTTATGCCATTTGAAGATTGGTAACAGGACATCATATTTGAAGGTGAGCGAATGTTGTGGTTTTCAAAAAAAAGGGAAGAAACCGGAAGTTTTAAAAACAAATGTTAAAAATTGTTTTTACATGCAACTGGGAAATAAGATATACAGGCAGTGGGGTATAGAAATCTATCCTGCCCTACAGGAAAATAGAAGGGGTGGTGGTGATGGAAGGGGAGGTAGATTAGGGGAAAGGGTATTCAGAATACTTGCCGTCTTGGGGTGGGGGGAGGGGAGAGATTTTGGAACTCAAAATCTTGTGGAAGTGAATGTTGAAAACTAAAAATAAATTAATTTTTTAAAAAGGGGAAGATCATGGAATCTGTAAACTATAGGTTGGTGAGTTTCACTTCAATTCCTACAAAAACTCTACTTTTTGGAATGGTAAAAGGAATGGTAAAATCTAAAATTTAGGCAATTTTTACATTCATTGAACTGAAATCTACCACTGTGTTACCAAATCCACAGACATTTATTAAGTAATTAATATGATCAATGCACTGAAGAACCAAAGACAAAAACAAGACAATTCTTATCCTCAAGGAGCATACATTCTCCTAAGGAATACAACATATACACAAATACATAAATGCACTGTGATTTCAGAAAGAAGACAGAACAAACAAATGAGAGGGAAGAAAGAAGGCTTCATCAGAAAAAAAAAGTGGCTTCATCATTGATAATTTGAGCTGAGGCTTGAAGGAAGGAAGTAAAGATAAGGAATATATTGATTCATAAAATCTGGAATCTAAGTTCAAAGACCATCTTGCCAAATGCATTTCTGAACAAGAATTTTCTCTACACTATATACTCAGACATAGTCATCTAGCCTTTACTTGAAGACTGTCAGTGAGAGGGAGTCTATTAATTCCCAAGGAACTCATTTTACATTTGGCTAATTTCAATTGTTATGAAGTTTTATTATACTCTTTGCAACTTTTACCCTACTGCTCCTAGTTTGGCCCTATGGGCCAATCAAAAGAAACCTTATTGCGGCAGCTAGGTGGTGCAGGGGATAGAGCACCAGCCCTGGATTCAGGAGGACCTGAGTTCAAATCTGGCCTCAGACACTTAACACTTACTAGCTGTGTGACCCTGGGCATGTCACTTAACCCCATTGCCTAGCCCCCCCCCCCAAAAAAAGAAAGGAAGAAAGAAATCTTATCAAGTGAGATAATACTTATGAAGCACTTGACAGTGCCTGGCACATAGTAGGCACTTAATAAATGTTTCTTCCTTCCCTAATCCCTTTTCAACATGACAATCCTTCAGATAATGTGAAGATGTGTTCTTCTTAAGTCCTCCCTCCTCCAGGATAAATATTCCTTATCCCTGCAACAAATCCTCATATGGCATGGTAGCCTTCCAGCTAGACACTCCCCAAACTTATCAATATTCTTCCTAAGGTGGGGTGCCCAGAACTGAATACTCCAGATGTGGACTAACCAGGGACAGTGGAACTTTCACCTCCCTAATAAAAGCAGGTGACATTTCTGTAGACTTGAAGGATTTTGGAGTGCTCTCCCCACCAAATCTCATTATCTTCCTATTGCTAGGAATTCTTCCTCCCTTAATGCAACCTAATATTAGCTGTTTTGGCTGCCAAATCAGACTGTGAATCCCAAGAGAGTCCAAAGACCAGAGTTCAAAGTTCAAAAACCACTTAAATGAGTGTAGTCCATGTGTAAAGGGGGAGAGTGAGGAAGCTGATACTGGGATTCTCAAGTTAAATGTAAGGTCACATTGACCTCATAGGCTCCTTGATGAGAAAGGCTGGTTTTCTTTTTCACCTTTGTATCCCCAGTGTCCAGCATTTATCAGTTAACAAGGGGAAGGAGACAAGCATATATTAAACACCAGTTATGTGCCAGGCACTGTGCTAAATGCTTTACGAACATCTTGTTTGATATTAAATGTTTTTTGCACGAAGGCATTAAATTAGGGGTTGTGTAAATACTCTTTTACAAGGACTACTGGGAACTTAAGTCTGGAGAGGTTATGGAGTCCTGCCCGAGGTCGCATGGCCAGTTGGTGTCGGGGCACAAACCCGGCGTCCGAGTTCTGAGCTCTTTCCACCTTCCCCCACTAGCTGGGGCAAGCAGTAAGAACCAGACCAGCCCACTCCCCCTGGAGTTAGAGTGGTAAATTACATTTAAGGTAGCCTGGGCTGAGAGTGGGATAAAATGGGGCCAGCTACAGCAGCCGGACAGAGGAGTGATGAAAGTCTGGACTGAGGGCGAAGCAATGGGAATGTGAAGGTCACCCCTGAAAGCCCCTTCTGAACCAGGGGTTCCATGAACTTGGAAGGGGGAAAAACCCACTACAACTTTATTAACTGGTTTCTTCTGCAACTCTATGTATTTCATTTCGTCCAAGGAGCCCCCGACCCAGCCCGAAAGGGGAGGGGCAGGAGCCCCGGGGGACGGGCCTGACGCCCTCGGTCTTTGACTCCCCAGCGCCTGGCACGGGTCCCCGCGATCAGGAGGCGCTTAATAAATGCCTGCGGATGGGCAGCCTAGAAGCCCGGCGGATGAGGGTGCCAGGCTTCCCACACGGGGACATCCAGCCCCGCACCTGAACTGACATCTGCACGCTCGGCGCCACCCATGAGGACCCACGAAAGGACACGAACACTCACGACAGAGGACACGAGAGAGGTCCCAGCTGGGGTGCTGCCTGGGAGGAGAGAGTGGAGCCCCCGGCTCCCCGCCGCTCCCCACCCCGCCCCGCCGTGGGGGTCCGCGCTCCCAGCTCCCCACAGGCCTCTCGTAACACAATCTCAATCTCCCACACCTACGCAAGCGCGCGCCGACAGAACGGCCTTTACCTCTAGACCAAGGATGGTCCAAAGTCCTACACTTCGGTTCCAACACGCTACTACGCCTGCGCACCCGTTACCATCTCAAGCCGCTGCGAATTCCACCCCCGGACTCCATTTCCCAGAGGGCTCCGCGGCGCTCCGCCCCAGTCCGTCCTGGAGATGGATTCTAGGAAATTCGGTCTAAATGGGAGACGATGTGGCTCTATGAATTCTGGGAAATGTAGTCCTCGTTCTGTCCGCGTGGTTGCACTGGGGTTGGGATGAAGCGGGAGGGCGCTGATGGTTGTTAATGAGATATCATTCCTAAGGAGAATAATGTGTTTGCGTGACAACTCACAGAAACACAGCTGTATCCATTGAAGGCCCTGCAATATCTTAACATTTTTTAACACAATCTCCTGTAATGGACATATCTTAATTGGTATGAGATGCTAAAGTAAAATGTAAATGGAACAAACTCTAAAGTGTAATTTGATCATTAGAACATCAAGATTTCACAGTCTCAAATGTCTAGGGCTGCCAAAAACTTGAGGTGCTGCATCCCAGAATTTGACTATGTAACTTACTCTTACTCACTAGCCCATTTAAAAAATTTTCCCATCAAAAAATGTATGTCCTCAACAGATTTAAACATTTAATGCCATGCATTATACTAAGAGCAGATGATACAAAGAAAATCAAAGATAGTCTGTCTCAAAAAACGCACAATGTAATAGGGAAGACAATATGCAAAATCCTATGTATAAACAAGATACATATGGGATAACTTGGATATAATCTCAGAGGGAGGATGCTGGCATTTAGGGACTCTATGAAAGGCTTCTTGCAAAAGAACTAATTTCAGATGAGATGCAAAGGAAACCAAAAGTTGGAGACAATGAGTGAGCATTCTAGGCATGGGGGACAGTCAGTGAAAATACATGGGAAGAGGTCAGTATCACTGGATTGCAGGGTACATGGAGAATAAAGTATAAGAAGGCTCGGAAGGGGCCAGATTTTAAAGGGCTTTAAAAGCCAAATAAAGGTTAATATATTTGGTCCCAAAGGTAATAGAGAACCACAGGAGTTTACTGAATAGAGGAAGGTGATGCAGTCCAACTTGCACTTTGGTAGCAGAGTGGAGGATGGATTGGAGTGGGAAGAGACTTCAGGTAGGAAGATCAACCAGCAGGCTATCCCAACACTCCAGGCATCAGGTGATGAGAGCTCTGTTTGGCATTCCAAGACCCTCATAAAACCCTTTTCCTACCTTTCCAGCCTTCTTACGTCCTACTCTCTAAAACATACTCTTTGATCCTGTGACAACTGGCTATGAGCAAGACACTCCATCTCTAGACTCAAGGTATTTTCTCTGGCTGTCCCCCATGCCCAGAACGCTCTTCCTCTTATGTTCTGACTATTGACCTCCCTGGCTCCCTTTACATCTCAACTAAAATTTCACCTCTTACTGGAAGCCTTCCCCAATGCCTCTTAATTCTAGTGCCTTCCCTCTATTAACTAGTTCCTAGCTTGCTTTGTATATATTTGTTTGCATATTATCTCTCCCATTAGAATATAAGCTCTTTGAGGGCTTTTGCCTCTTTTTGTATCCCGTGCTTAGCACAGTGCCTGGCACGTGGTAGGTTGGCTGATTGACTAGAGTTGTGACATTGTTAGAATAGAGAAAGGGGGTGCATATACATACAAGAGATGTTTCCAAGGTCAAACTGATAGGACTTAACAACAGATTTGATATGGGGTTGTGGGGGGGGGGGGTAACAAAGTGTGAGAAGTCCAGCTTGGGTAATAATTTAATAAATTTTATTTCCTTGTTTACAAAGAAATTTTTTTAAACTTAAAAAACAACACAAGTATGCACATATGACCCAATTATTTTTTTTTAAGTATTCCTATTAGTAGGAATTTTTTGTTTTTAGTTCTTGGGATAGTCAGAATTTAATATTACCATAACTACTGGGGCAGTTAGGATAGAGCGGTGGGCTTGGTGTCACGAAGACCTGAGTTCAAAGCCAGCCTCAGACACTCACTAGCTATGACCTTGGGCAAGTCACTTAAACCTGTTTGCCTCAGTTCCTCATCTGTAAAATGAGCTGGAGAAGGAAATGGCAAACCACTCCAGTGTCTTTGCCAAGAAAACCCCAAAAAGGGTCACAAAGAGTCAGATACAACTAAAATTACTAAACAACTTAAGAGTTCTTTTGAGTTCATGGGCCTATTATGGTTAAAACCTCGAGGTTGTTTGTTTTGTTTTTTTAAATGTTTATGTTACCATCCTGTTTAAAGTACCATAATAATTTCTAATGATTTTGAAAATTTCAGCAGTAGGATTAAGTAGATGTCAATCCCTGACCTGTGTAACACGTCTGACTGCAACACCACACTGCTGCCTGATAAGAGCGGGCTGACTAAGGATCTTTCATCATATTACTTCCTACTCTCTACAGCAGCCCCTCAGTTTGGTTTGTAGTGGCACCTGTCCATTTTATATTATCTTGGCCATACTTTACATACTGATGTTATTAATTTGTAAGATCAGGAGTCCCTCAAGGGAATAGATCCACATTTTAGAATCTTTAAAAGAAAAGAGGTATGACACAGTTCATCTAGTTTGGCAAGCAACACTGAATCTGATACTGTTCTAGGTTCTGATTTGTTTTTCCCAGTGCTAAGATCAATATAAAATTAAAAACAAAATGGCAAAAAATTAAACTGCAGTTGTGATATTTCCACTGAAATGGCAATTAAGAATACTGCAAATAGATTTAGAACCAAAAATATTTCATAAAATTTTAGTTTTCATAAAATCATGTAGTCTTAAGAGTTTAAAGGAAGCTTAGAGGTTATCTAGTCTAACCTCTTGCCTTATCCATGAATCCCTTTCCCCACATCCCCAACAGATAAGTCATCCATATTCAGCTGGATTATTTGGGTATGTGGATTCTACACTACTTGCTCAAGACTCCACGGTCACCACAACTGGTCATGGTGAGCAAGAGCTCTGATAAAATCTCTGATGCCAAATTCCCTCAAGCTTGGCCTTCCATGCCTCAGGCGGCAGGGAAGCCAAACATCTTGCCCACTTCCCTTACAGGACTAGCACAGCCTACTTGCCAATGAAGCTTGTGCCCAGCAAACAATAATGAGAGGGCAGGGGTAGAAGGGAAAGGAGAAGGTATGTTTTCCTCATACATGGAGGATGGAGCCTCTGTCCACCTCCCTGGCATGGCTGCTGAAGACAGCAGCAACCACAACTGTGCATGACAGGTGGGGCTCCTCCTAGAGGGAGAGATGAGAATAAGACCTGGACAGGCCAACAGTTGACAAATACTGCAAGTAGAAAAATGATAAGGAAATTTAATGTCTACTGGGGATCTATGGTATTGGCAACTTTCAAACGCAGACTAATCTGTAAACTGGGGAGAGGTGGAAGTGGGAGAAAAGAGGTGAGCAGGGGACAGAAGTAAGGGGAATGTGGCTAGCCCAATAAATAAGTTAAATGAAGAATATGAGATAGCCTATTAAAAGCTTGGCAGGGATAATAAGGTCAAGTAGAGCACAAGGCTGATGAATAGGAATACCAAAGAGTAAATCAGAGAAAAGATGAGATCTAGGAAAAATAAACAGTCAAGGAGTAAGGAAAGAAAGAGGAATGGAGAGGACAAGAGCTGGTGGAAGGTAGATACTATATATGAAAAGAGAAGTAGAAGAATCCCAATGGAAGAAAAAGTGACCACCCTTCCCAACTTGTCTGAAAAGAAGACTTTTCCTGACAGGAGCTGAGGCAACACATCTGCCTTGGAGCTAAGAATTCCCTCCAACTGAACCACCGTGAGTCATTCTTTCCAGTCACTCCTGTCTGTCTGATTGGCTCTCACTTACTTCCTCGTTCACCTGAGGTGGTATTTCCTGGGACCTCTCTCTTTGTGCCATGTATTCATGGCTCTTCCCTTGGCTCCTACAGGAAAACCACATCAGGTGTAGAAATGGGAAACACAGTTGGTAGCTCTGCCTGAAGTGAATTCATGACGAAGAAAAGTGAGAAGCAGACTGGCTGGGTAGGGTAGAGCCAGACTGCGGGAAGCCTCGAGCGCGAGGTCAAGGAGCTTGGACTTGATCCGAGCGACAGCAGAGCTGGTGGCTGATAGAGGTGGAAGGGAATCAGAGGCAACACTCATCTTTCAGTCTCAGATGAACTCCTACCTAGAGTGAAAAGTGTCAGTGGTTTTAATGCCTGGAGCCCCCACAAGCAGTGGGAGGGCAGCATCATACTCAGTGATGGGCTATACATTATTTAATTCCACTGAAAAAAACCACATCGGGGCAGCTAGGTGGCGCAGCGGATAGAGCACTGCCCTGAAGTCAGGAGGACCTGAGTTCAAATCCAGCCTCAGACCAAACACTTGACACTTACTAGCTGTGTGACTCTGGGCAAATCACTTAACCCCAATTGCCTAAAACAAAACAGAAAAGAAAAGAAAAAAAGAAAAATAGCACATAATCAACATTCACTCTAATCCATCTTCCATTCAGTTGTCTAAGTTGAATTTTCTCAAGCATAGGTCTAACCATGTCTGTTCCCTGCTCTCTACATCCAAATAAAATATAAGTCCTCTGGTATTTAAAACTTCTCATAGCCTGGCCCCTACTTACTGTTCCAGTCTTCCTACACTTTACTTCCCTCTATGCACCAGCGACACTGTCCTACCTGCTCTCTCTTACCCTGGGCTTTTGCAATAACTGCCCCATGCCTGGAACGCTTTACACCTCCCCTACCCACCCAATCCTGCCTCCTTATTTCCCTAGAGTCTTTCAAGACAGTTCAAATCTTGCCTTCAGGAGGCCTTTCCTGGTTCTCCTAAGCTTCCAGTGCCTTCCCTACTTCCATCTACCTTGCATGTACCTACAATGTCTCCCTCAGAATGTAAGCTCCTAGAGGACTAAGATTGTTTCTGCCTTTCTTCGTATCTGCAGGGCTTAGCACGGTGCCTGGAACATAGTAAGAACTCAATCAACACTTGTTGTGTGAGATGTCAAGCTGGCCCCAGACCATCCCAACCTTAGAATTAGGGTGAGTTACTCACTAGGAAAACTTGACCTACCTGGACATCTTGCCAAGCAAGATATATGCTTTAGGAGCATAAGGAGATTTTTAAGTTGCCTCTTGAGTATCTGTATCCCTCTCAGATTGAGACCCAATAAGGCCAAGGAAAGTCCATTTCTGGGAAAGGTTTTCAGGTCATTTTATACTTAGTATCTGACACCAGGCTCAAGACTTACTACCCACAGACCACTTGCTCTTTTGCTTGGCATCAAAAGAAGGAAAAAAATTAAATAGCAAGCAGAAATGGTAGTAAGTTTGAACAACAAGTTTATTTAAAATAAGGGAGATTAATAAGTTTTTATGTGGTCTCTCTTCGTGCCTAAGTTTTTGAGCATTTAATAAAGTGATAAATTTGGCTGAAGTTTTCCCAAAATTCATGATATTTCCAGGGTTATTCTTTGGCATAACGTCGCTGATGTTGGATTACAGATGACTTGTGACTGAAAATTTTCCCACATACACCACATTCAAAGGGTTTCTCTCCAGTATGAGTTATCTGATGTCGTTTAAGATTCCTTTTTTGTATAAAGGTTTTCCCACATTCACTGCATTCATATGGCTTCTCTTTACTATGAATTTTCTGATGTTGAGTAAGAGATGAGCGGTCAAAGAAGGCTTTCCCACACTGATCACATTCATAGGGCTTTTCCCCAGTATGAATTCTCTGATGTCGATTAAGATGTGAGCGGTCAAAGAAGGCTTTCCCACATTCCTCACATTCATAGGGTTTCTCTCCAGTATGAATTCTTTCATGTATAGTAAGGGATGAACAGTCAAAGAAAGCTTTCCCACATTCATTACATTCATAGGGTCTTTCTCCTGTGTGAGTAATCTGATGTCTTCGAAAGCTACTTATATGTCTGAAGGTTTTCCCACATACATTACATTCAGGGCCTCTCTCTTTACTGGAATTTTTGGAGGCATTGATTGAAAGTTTCTTGAAACTTCTCTCTTGGGAAAGTGATTTTTCCAATGTTTTCCCTTCAGAGTTTTCTCTTTTCTTCTCCAATCTAACCTCAGGTACAGTAACTTCACTTGTGGATCTTTCCGTTAATATCTCTGGTGATTTTATTTCTTCTGAAATGTTCTGTTTTGGAACTGACTTACAGGTGTTGGGCTTTTTCTCCCAGCCTGAAACTAAGAGAAAATAATGTAAATTAATATGGTAATAATAAGTATAATAAATAAGATAAATCAAAATATTTTCTGTGCTGTTTAAAAAGAAAATGATCTGGTAGAATATGGATATTGATACTAAAAATGCCTACTGAATCATCCACATTATTGGGCAAATATCAACAGTACTGAAATTAAAGAACTGAAGTAGTGTAAAGAAGAAAGAAGCAGGGAGAAAGGAAAGTAATCAGCAAGGTAAGCAGAAAATATGATTGAGCTTATTCAGGAATAGGGTTAACGTTACTCTCAGCATCCTTAAAAGTAGGGGATACTAATGAGTGGGAAAAACAAGGAATACATAAGGTTTAGGATGGGATTTGGATAGCTACCCTTTCAGGGAGTAATGAAGGATGATCTCTAGATAATGCGTAGAGAGTTAAAGAGTATACAGCTAAAAAAATGAGAAGGGAATCAGAAGCAACACGATTAAAGAAAAACAGATTTCCCATGCCCACCAATGTAAGATGGAAAAAATGCATCCCTGATTGGGTCCATGGCAACAACAATCTCAGCAGGCCCTAGGGTCACTGAGAACATTTCCTCACTAAACACGTTAACTATAATATCCATTAAGTCACCAGCAGTCTTTCTCTTACTCACCCAAAGAGGTATTTCTTGGGACCTCTCTCCCTTCAGTTCCTTGCACATCAAGCATCCAAGGCTCTTGTCCTTGCTCCAACTGAAAGATCACATCAGGTTTGGAAATAGGAAGTCCTGTTTACAGAGAAGGGAATGAGACTTAGCAGTTTGTCTTGAAGACACAGAATTGTCACAGAAGTCATTCCCGGCCCTTTGTCTGCAAAGAGAAGGGAAATATATTTATATAATGTGAAAATTACTATATCATCTAGTACAGTATCATTTTACATATGAAGAAACAGATGCTTAAGCAAAGTCATTTATGTTCTCAGGGTCACCGGGCTAATAAGTGAAAGAGCTGGCTGGGATGAATCCACTTTCTTCTGACTCCTTCCTCTTTCTACTCTAACATACTACCATCCTACTGGGTTAGGACAGGACAGCAAGCCAGGAAATGAACAGGTTTCTGAAGGAGGCTCACAGCTTATTTCCAGAGCCTCTGAGAACAGAGGACAGGAAAGGAAGAACTTGGGGCAAGGGGATGGGGTAACAAATGAAACCACTTATTTTCAACTCTATTCATAGTGGAACTTTCAAAAAGGATTAGAAATCTCTGACCTGAATCACAAGGCAAAATTCAGATGAGCAACTGAAAAGCTGCACAGCTCTTAGCAATTTCCTCTGATATATCTGCACCCCTACAGCTGGCAAGGTGGTGGCCCCTCCCTATGATTCTGAACCTTAGGGTGAAGTTATCCTTACCCAGTGAGATAAGGTTTCTATAGTTCTCCAACATCACATCTCTGTACAGGTCCCTCTGTGCAGGGTTCAGTTGCCCCCACTCTTCCTGGGTGAAGTTCACAGCCACATCCTTGAATGTAACTGATTCCTGAAACAAATACATTCTTATTCACCCATGGACTCCTCACTCCTGGGGAAAAGGAATTGATAAAAAGCACTTAAAAGAGACAGATGGGATAGATAGGAGGCAGGTCTGAAAATGTTAAAGGCTTTCAGTACTATGTACGGAATAAGGAATAAGGCAGAAAACATCTTGTCTCCAAGTTATTGTGCCTATCCTGAGCCACACTGAGGGAAGGCACTAGAGGAGGAAACATTCCTTATGGTCCATCATTCACCAAGATGGACCAGTTTCCTAGGGATGAAGAATTGGGGGTTTTTGTTCCTAGATGGGATAGAGCTGTGCAGAGAAGCTTCATGATGAGGGTAGAAAAAGGAAGCACATTCTGGAAACTGTGACTACATTTCAGGAAAGATCAATTCACCTGTGATCTGGCTGCCAGGAACACAGGAGCCATTTCTTCTTCTGTATTCCCTTCCAGGAAAAAGGTAAAGTCTGGGCTAGGGGAAGAAAAAGAGGACATAAGGAACTCTGGTCTTGTCTTCCAATTCCCAGACTCAACAGGCTAAAACTCATAACAATTTGGTGTGATTCTCCCAACTCCTTCACATCACACAGAGGTAGGTCAGAATGACCTAAATAGTTGCCCTGCCCTTTCCTTGGGTAAGAGACAAGAATCAAGGATATTACAATGTGACACCTTCATGTTCTGATGCTTGTGGAACATTACAAGGAACAGAGGTTCTCTTTCTGAGACAGGAAACATGCCCTGAATTGAGATTATCAACTGGCTATATGATTTGGAACATAGACCTCAACATCTCTGTGCCACTAACCTCTTTTAACTGAAGGAAAGTAATTGTCATTCTCTTTCCTGTTTCCTGATGTAAAGAATCAAGAGTTTGACTTCCAAAGTGGCCACATGGACACATGACATTAGAATTAGAGAGGAAACTGAGTAGCTATGTCAGTGATTATCTATGAAACCAAAGGCAAATCATTTAGTTTCTTATTTGTTATCTATAAAATGTTACTAAAAAGCAATAAGAGTGATTACAGAAACCACTTGCCAAAATTTGTTTCATTATTTTTACTAATACCTCATATCAGAGAAACATTGAATCTCAGAGTTGGAAAAGAATCTAAGAGGGCATCCAATCCAGTTTGTACTTGAACAAAAATCTCTTTTAACAGCATACCTGACAAGCAATCACACAGCTTGTGAGAACTAGTAAGGGAGAACTTGTTCTCTCTTATAGCAGCCCATTCTACTTCTGGATAGCTCTAATCATTGGGGTTTTTTCCCTCTACATCAAGACTAAATCTGCCTCTTCACAACCCCCACCCCATTGTTCCTTGGCCTCTCCAAACACAATGAGTCTAATCCTTTTCCATGTAAGAGTTTTCCATATCTCTTGTTAAGTCTTCTCTCCTTCAAGCTAAATATAAACAGTTCTTCACTACATGTAGCCTGGATTTTTTTTCTCTACATTTCTTTTTTTAAATAAGTTTTTATTAATGTCTTTTGTTTTGTATATTACTATAGTTTTCTTTAGTATCCTTCCCCTGTCACTCCTAAAGAGCTTCCCCATATAACAAATATTCTTTTAAAAAAAAAAAGAAGAAGAAAAATTAGTGTAACTGACCAATACAACAACCATGACATCAAAAGTCTGAAAATACATGAAATACTTGTGGAGCTTCCACCACTGCAAATAGGTGGGGTGGAAGTTTCTTCCGCATCTTGGCTCTAGGATCAGATATTCTGTACTTTGGAAAAATCCCTTTGGCAGTTGTGAGGAGGAGGGAGTAGAGAGAGGAAAACCCTGAGGCAGGGAGTCAAATTGGTAGGGTATTGCAACAGTCCAGGCAAGAGGTAATGAAGGCCTAATGAATGGAGAGAAGGGAAAAGATGAAAGTGATGTGGGGGAAGGGATAACATGATCTGGCAAATGAATGGAGATGGTGGGTGAGCATTCAAAGTTAACATCAAGGTTGCAAACCTCACTAGAAGGATGCCTGATGTCCTTTAGAGAAACAGGGGAAGATCTGAAGAGAGATGGGTTAGGGACAAAACATAATGAGTTCAATTTTAGACATACTGATTTTGAGATGCTTATAGGATACCCAGTTGGAAATGTCTCACAGGCAAATGGAAATGTGCAATTGAAATTCAGGAGAGACTAGGACTAGATATATAGATTTGGGAGTCATATATATATACATATATATATATATACACACACACACACACATACATACACACACACATACACACATGTATATATATATATATATATGTATATATATATATATATATATATACACACACACATATAAGTTATCATTAAACTCATAGAGGTTTACAAGGTCACTTGGTGAGAGTGTGAAGAAAATTTTAAAAGGCCCAAGATAGCCTTGGGGAATACCCAGCTAAGGAGCACAATATGGATGATGAACCAGCAAAGGCAACTGAGGAAGCCAGACAGGTAGAAGGAAAATTAACAAAGAACAGTGTCACAAAAGAACACAGAGGAGAAAACAGTGCCAAATATACTGTAAAGGTTAAGAAGGATGAAAACTAAGAACAGATCCTTAGTGTGAACAATTAAGAGATCACTGGCAATCTTAGAAAGAGTTATTCCCATTGAAGTCAGAAGACAAATTGCAAAGGGTTAAGTGAGTGAAAGCACAGGAAGTAAAAGTAAGAGAAGCTTGATTGTAAAGAGATATAAGACAATAATAGTTTGGGAGATAGTAAGGTCTAGTGAGATTGGGGGGGGGGACAGGGGATCAAGGTATGTTTTCAGGCAACAGTGAAAGAGTTAATAAATAGGAATAGACTAAAGATTAGAGAGAGAAATGGGATGATTGCAAGGCCCATCTGCCAGAGAGGACAGAAGAGGTCAGAATCAAGGATACATACATAGAGTTTGGAGGAAAAAATTATTTCAGTTTGAGACATGTTAAGCTTGAGATGTCTCTGGTATACCTACACGGAAATTTCCAATAGGCAGATGGAGATGTGTAACTGGAATTAAGATGTTGGTCTTATTAAATAGGGTCATCCCTTCATGACAGATTGAAACAAAGGAGAAGAGAATGTGGGATGATGTGAAGGTATTTTGAGATGTAGAGAAGCAGAGAAGAGGAAATAAATGATGAACCACTTCTATTTTTTTTTTTTTTAAGTACAACATGAGGAGAAATCCTCATTGAGAGGATGAGGGAGAGAGGATGGTACATTTTCATTTATTCCCATATGAATCACCAAAAGTGGATAGTGGTCATCAGGCTTGACAATTCTTACAAAGTGCTCTGTCATCTCCCACATACATGTTCCTGGAAGACAACAAATCTTTCCGGTACTTATGTTAAATTGATAAATAGTTGCTTTGGTAATTCTCAGCAGAGTATCGCCTACCACCACTTTACCTTCTTCTTCTCACTGTTACTGGATGACTTCCCAATTGAAAGCACCTATGGATCTATATCATCATTCCTGGGAGCAGATGCTGCTTCTTTCAGATATGGCCCAACTCCTCCCTCTTCAGGGATAGCTTCATGCCTGTTACATAGCTCCAAATACTTAGTGGTAATCTTCTTCGTGTTCCTTCTTCCTTTTTTTTTTTTTTTTAATTTTCTGTGTTAGATTTCTCTACCCTTCAAATTCTACACACAAGTGAAATTTTCCTGTTTTTTTTTCACATTTTTTTCCCATTTCTTCACTGAGTATTTCTTCTACTCTTTTAAGAAACCTTTCATTCAACCTGACAACCTGCACATTAGAAACAAGTTCCTCCAGCCCTTTCACATTAAAGAAAGAAAGAAAGAAAAGGATTCACATGCACAAAAAATATTTATAGCAACTCATTTCATAGTAGCCCAAAACCAGAAACTAAGGCGGTACCCATCTATTGGGAAATGACTACACAAGTTGTGATATATGAGGTGATATGGTATTGTGCCATAAAAATGACAAAATGAATGGTTCCAGAGGAAACTAGGAAGACCTCCATGAACTGATGCAGAGTGAAGTGAGAACTCAGAGAACAATTTCAACAATGACAGCCTTTTCACTTTGTCTTCTAGAAAGAAAACTTGGATTTTGTAGTTATATAGGTGTTACGGGGTACTGGCAGAACATCAACATAACACTATCTGAAGATTACATCAAAATTTTCCTTGTCTTCCATACTTAGGTGAAGCAAGTTCCAGGGTCTCCTATCTTTCCTTTATGGTTAACTAAGTATTGAAAATTGCTTATTTGTGAGTTAGACTAGAATTGCTAATACAATGGGATCCACCCACTCATAATGTCACATTGCTGCTCTCCAGAACCTTTCCCTCCAGAACCTTTCCTCTACTTTCTTGAAAGTCAGGCACTCTGGCCTCACTTAGTAGTTAAGGCATAATTTATTTAGAAGAAAGAAGTACACAACACACATGAACACAAGATGCAAAGTCACAAACGGACATGAAAAAAATTCAATTGTTTAATGAGAACTATCTTGTCTCCAGAACCTTCTCTCTACTTCCTTGAACAAAGTGTTCTTCTAAGGGTCCTAATGAAGTAAGTGATGGGAAAGCATGTCAAATACTAAAAGGGCCAGAAGATATCTTATAATTGTTTAGTCTAATTCTCAAAACCAATGAACTAAGTTGGAAATCACACAAACTTTTAGAGTTACATCCTCTATGAGTGCAAGGAAATAAATAGCTAGATGGTGCTTTTAATAGTAATGACCAAAGGAGATGGCTCTCATCTTTCCTTTTGATTCTGTGTTGTTGCAGCTAAAGAAACTGAAAGGATAGGATAAAATAGAACAAGATTTCTTAACATTTCCCATGTTATGGCTCCCTTTGGCAGTCAGTCTGTTAAAGACTATGGACCTCTTACATTTTTAAACGCATAAAATACATAGGGTTACAAAGAAAACAATTTATTATAAAATATAGTCAGCTAAGTGGTGTAGTACATAATGCATGGGCCTGGAGTCAGAAAGACCCAAGTTCAAATCCAGTCTCTGACACTCATTAACTAGCTTTGCGACCCCAGGCAAGTCACTTAATCTGTTTGCCTCAGTTTCTTCAACTGTAAAATGAGGACAATCACAGTACCTACCTCCCAGAGCTGTCGTAAGGATTAAATGAGATAATAATTGTAAAGCACAGTGCCTGGCTTATAATAAGCACTATATAAATGTTTAATTATTATTATTATCAAAATATTTTTTTCAAAACAGGTACATGGCCGTCAGGCTAAGAACCCCTGAAGTAGAGGATGTGTAATATTGCAATTCTATCTTGATAGCTTAAGAGGGCAAACTAACTAGGATGAGAGTGTTTTTTCCCCTCAACTCTTAAATTTTTTGATCCCTTGTACCTGTCTTCAAATATTTGGGTCAAAATTTCCACCAAAGTTTCTTGTTTAATTCCTAATCATGCCTTGTTAAATGCCAAACCTGAGTTACTCCTTTCGCTGCTTTCTCTGATCATACTTGTGAGCCGCTGAAGGATCCTGGAGCAAGTCAGGTAACCTGCTGAGTGAGTTCATTACTTATTTATGCTATCTAATCTCAACTTGTCCCTCACTCACTGCTGCACAGGAATTCTTTTACTCTTATCTGACTGATTCTCTACCACACTCTACACTGGCTATTCCAAATTTCTCCTAGGACCTCACCTCCTACTTTACTGACAAAAGAGGTCTGCACTGTTCTTCTTCTCCCATCTCTATACCTTAAAACTCCTCTTCATCATTCCCCCATTCTTATCTTTCTTCGCTTCAGTCTCTACAGAAAAGGTGAGGCTTCTCCTTGCCAAAGCTAACCCCTCCACTTGTGTTCTTGGTACTCACCCCCTCTTGTGTCCTCTGAGAACTTGTACCCCCTTATCATTATCTCTTTCATCTTCAATCTTTCCTTGTTCTATGCCTGGGTCTCCCTGGCATCCTTAAACAACCTTCACTTGACCTTGCTATTCTCTCAAACTATAATTCTGTATCTTTTTTCCCCTTCACAACCAAACTTCTAGGAATGGTTTCCTCCATTACCTCACAACCACTAACTTCTCAATCTCTTGCAATCTTGCTTTCAGTCCCACCTATTGACTGTAACTGCCCTCTCCAAGGTTACCAATGATCTCTTACTCTAATTGCTAAATCCAATGGCCTTTTTTCATTCCTCATCCTATTTGATCTCTGTGCAGTTTTCGTTGTTTCATTACCCCTTTCTAGACACTCTCCTTCTATGATACAATTCACTCTTGGTTCTCCTACTACTTGACTGACTACCACTTCTCAGTTTCCTTTGCTGAATCATCTTCCTCATCCTAGAGTTCTATCAAGGACTTGGTCCTGAGCCCTCTTTTCTCTTTATGCAGTTTCAGTGATCTCAACAAGTTTCATGGATTAAATTATCATCTCTTTGTAGATAACATATCTATGTATTTATCTCCTGGCCTCAGAAGCACTCAACCAGTTCCATGGATTAGCTTATCCTCTCTTTGTAGATAACCTATCTATGTAGATAACCTATCTATCTATGTATTTATCTCCTGGCCTAAGCTTCCAAACCCACACCTCTAATTGTTTAGAAGACTTATTCACTTGGTTGTCCCATAGACATTTCAAAATCAACAAGTCCAAAATGGAACTCACGTCTTTCCCCAAACCAATCCACCCTCCAAATTTGCCCATTTCTATTTTTAAGTATATTTTGTTTTTTAATCAGCAAAAATCCCTCCCACCTCAACTCTGTCCTCCCACCCCAACTGAAAAGAAAAACAAGCCCCATTACAAACATGCATAGCCAAGCAAAACAAATTTCTGCATTGACCATGTACAAAAAATATGTCTCATTCCGGACTGAGTCCTTCAACTCTCTATCATGAGAGAGGTAGAAGTTTCATCATTAGTCCTCTGGAATTGTGGTTAATTGTTGTGCTTGTTAGAGTTCCTAATTCTCTCAAAGTTGTTTGTCTTTACTATTCTCCCTTTTCCCTTTTCTCTCCTAACTCCCTATTGAGTGAAATGTATTTCTGTACCCAATTCTGTGTGTATGTTCTTCCCTCTTTTGTCCAGTTCAAGTGAATGAGGTTCAAGTGTCACCTGCTCCCCACTCCTTGTTTGTACAGATGTCTACTTGAGCACTCTGATTATATGAGATTAATTTTCCCTTCATTTCTTTTCCCTTCCCCCAAGCATATTCCTTTTCCTCTTTCTTTTCATTCCTTTCTTAAAACCATCAAGACATAACAGAACCACTCCACTTAGACTAACTGAACTCCTTTTATAACTCCTTATGATGACAGGGTTCAGAGAAAACATATTTACCATTTTCTCATATTGGAATGTACACAATTTATCCTTGTTTAGTCTTTTAACACTATTTAATTCCTGGGTTTTTTTTATGGCATATAATATTCAAAGTTCTCCCCTCCTTTATAATGTGGCTGCTAAATCATGTGTGGTCCCAACTATGGCTCCTCAATACCTCAATTCCTTCTTTCTGGATTATTACAGAATTTTTTTTTTTCCTTTGACCCGAAAGCTCTTGGTTTTGATAGTTTCTTTTGTGAGGTGACTAGTAGATTTTTTTTTTTTTTGCTATTTCCATTTTGTCCTCTGGTTGCAAGAGATGGAGGCAGTTTTCTTTTAAGATTACTTGAAGTATGATGTCTGTGCTTTTTTTTTTTTTCCAGTCATGGCACTCATACATAGTCCAATGATTCTTAAATTTTTTCAGCTTTTTGACTTTAATTTTTTTTCTTGTCTCATTAGATTCTATTTAGTCCATTGGAATTTTGAGAGTTTGTTGCTTGGCCAAGGTTTTGTATCTCTTGTTAATTCCCTTTCTACTTTTTTTCTTCTACCGCTCTCATTTCTTTTCCAATATTTTCCTCCAGTGCTCTCATTTCATTGATAAAAACATTTTAAAACTCTTTTTTAATGTCTAGCTTCATCTCTTCCTAAAATGAATTTGTACCTAAGCTTTTTTGGGTTTGAGGCTTTGCTTATAGATATATTGGAGTCATTTTCTTCTGGTTTTGTGTCTTAAACACCCCTGTTACCATAATAGCTTTTCAAAATGAGATTTTGTTTATTTGTTTGCTTATTCTTCCAGCCTATTTTCTGACTTGACGTTAGGGCCACGCTTTTGCTCTTCTGTAGGGGTGGTCTGGGTGGTCTGGATAGTCTTGGAGTATCGAATTTTGTGCTGTCCCAGAATTCCAGGGGCAGCTCAGGCTAAGGATCTGCAATCTTTCAGGTGCTCCCAAAGTCAGACCAATGTCAGACTCAGGGCAAAGTCTGATCACTGCGCTGCTGTTCTGAGCTCCGCAAGTTCCTGACTTGAGTTTGGGTCTAAGTAATAAGAGTCTGCAGCTTGATGCAGCCACTGTTAACCAGCTAGGAAGCTCTGGTTCTAAACGGCAGATCTGTAGGCTTCCCTTTGGTTTGGGATTGCTACCCTTGTTACTCCTCTACAGGCTTCAGACTGGGCTATAAGCTGTAAACAAGACCGTGATCTGCTCCTGGGGTTGGAGTCATACTGCTGCCGTCTACTTCTGAGCTTTCTCCTTTCAAGGATCTTTAGCAGCTTCTTACTTTGAACTGTCACCCTTGGGCACAGGTCCTCTTCTGAGATTTGCCCTGGATCTCAAATTTGCCCTCAACACCTCTCTCTTCTTTCCCTTTATCACTCACACAGTCTCTGTCCTACTTCAGGTTCTTATTACCTCTTGTCTAGACTACTGCAATAGCCTCCTAATTAGTGCCTCCAGTGCCCAATCTATCACCTATGTAGATATCAACTAAATTGATATTCCTAAAACACAGGTTTCACTACTACTGTTGGAGTCAACAGTAAGGCTCCAGTATGGACTCAATCTAGTGATATATTGAATTTATAAATATTAGTTGGGCTGAGAGTTTAGAGATTAGAGGCAAGAAGGTAATCTAGATCAGGGGTTCTTTACTTGGTGTCCATAGAAACTGTGTGGCGGAGGATAGATTTCAGGGGGTCCACAAACTTGAAGGTGAGAAAAATTATACCTTTATTTTCACTAACTTCTAAATAAAATTTAGAATTTCCTTCAATTAGTTAAAAACATTATTCTGGGAAGTCCAACAGCTTCACCCAACTCCCAAAGGGGTCCATCACACAAAAAAGTTAAGAACTCCTGATCTAGACACATTCAAAGTGATGAGTGACTAGGACTAGTGGGAATAAATGAAAAGGATAAGGATGGGTACAGGGAATTCCCTGAGTGAGGAAAGGCCCTCCACCAATGCAGGTTAGCACTTTCTCTTCAATTTATAATCTTTGAGAGTTATCTAGAGCACAGAGAGGTTAGGACGGTTTGCCCAGCATCACACAGGCAGAATGTGTTAGAGAATCCTGATCTTCCCGCTTCCATAACCCCCATTTTCTATGTATTATACCGACCTGGTTCTAGCAGTAAGGAAAATAGACCAAAGTTAAGGGTACCTTCTAAAGAATCAAAAAGAATTTTAAAAAAACCACACAAAAAAAACCTGGCAACACACTGGATGGAGAAGTCTCTCTCTCTCTCTACTCCAGTCCATCCTCCGCTTAGCTGTCAAAGTGATCTTCCTAAATCAGATGCTATCATGTCACACTCCCGCACACACACTCTCTCAAGAAACTCTAGCGGCTCCCTATGACCTCCAGGATCAAATACAAAATACTCTGGCATTCAAAGCCCCTTCCCACCCTTCCAGTCGTTTCACACCCCAACAGGTACTCTTGGATCCTGCTACACCGGCGTCCCGGCTCTTCCTCAAACAAGGAGCTCCATCTCCCGACTCCGGGCATTTTCCCAGGCTGTCTCCCAGGCCTGAAATGTCCTCCCACCTCCCCTACAACCTCCTGGCTTCCATCAAGTCCCAATTAAAATCCCATCTTCTACTGGAAGCCTTCCCTAACCCCTCTTAATTCTAGTGCCTTCCCTCCGTTAATTATTTCCAATTTGCCTAATTAGCTTCCGACTGGAAGAATTCCAAATCAGCTCGTTTGTACACAGAGGTTTGCTTTTTGCCTCCCCCTTTAGACTGTAAACTCCCCGAGGGCAGGGACGTGTCTTTGCATCCCCAACTCTAAGCACAGAGAAGGCGCTTAATCAATGTTTATTGACTAACTATTGAGAAGATGAGGCATGGGGGCGGTCAAGCCTCGAAGCCTGGAGGGTCGCGGACCCCTGCCCTCGGACCCCGGCCCCCGCAGGACCGGGGACCGTCCAGGTCTCGGTGCTCTCCCGCAGGGACACTTCGAGGGGCTCTCCCTGCCCCCTTCCACGCCCCAGAGCAGTCAAACCCCACTGCCCTCGGGCCCCTCGTGACACAATCCCTCGGACACGCCGCGAACACAGAACGGACTTTACCTCCAGAACGAAGCTAGTTCAGAGATCGACAGAGGACTGACTGCACCTGCCGCGCCGCTTCCGCTTCGGGAGGCTTCAGCCGAACCGAATTCTGGGAAAGTGGTCTCTGAGGGATTCTGGGAAATGTAGTCCCAGCTAGACCACCTCCTGGCAGAGGTGAGATGCGGAGACTCAAGAGTTTACAACGGAACCGTTACGTGGGTTTGTTTTATTTTATGTATTTGTTATAAGGATAGGGTTTTATTTGAAGGAGGCACAAAGTTGTGGGAAGGGGTGTGTGTGTGTGTGTGTGTGTGTGTGTGTGTGTGTGTGTGTG